TGTAGGTTAAATGTTTTTAAGCAAGAGATATTTTTGGAAGAATTCATTGATTGAGAGCTTCTTGACTTCTTTAGGTATAAAATATGAACTATGGCTTTCTATCAGCATAGTTCCTAGTGATGAAAACTGGTTAAAAATATTTACCTTCAACACAAAATGATCAAAGGCTTAAGCGTAAGACCTGAAACTGGAACTCCTAGATGAGAACATCGGGGCAAGCTCTGGGCATCGCTCTCGACAGTCCTTTCGTGACAACGAAAGCACGGATGACAGAGCCACAACTAGACAGGTGGGACCACATCCAGCTGAGCAGCTTCTGCACAGCAGAGGAAACAGTCAAAAGAGTGGAAAAGCAACCTAGATAATAGGAGAAAATGTTTGCAAGCCACATATCGGAAAGGGGATTAATTTCCAATGTGTATAAGGAACTCCTATAACTCAATATCAAAAATAATAATAATAACCCAACTAAAAATGGTATGAGGAACTGAATAGACATTTTTCCGAAGAAGACCTGCAGATGGGCAACAGGTTCACGAAAAGATGTTCAGTGTCCCTAATTATTAGGGAAATGCAAATCTAAACCATGAGATATCACCTCAAACTTGTTAGAATGGCTGTTATTAAAAATAAAACAAAAGACGGCAGATGTTGGTGAGGATGTGGAGAAATTGGAATCCTTGTTCACTGTTGGTGAGAATGCAAAACGGTACAGCCACTATGAAAAACAGTATGAAAGTTCCTTAAAAATTTAAAATAGTCTACAAGCCCGATTCCGTCTGAACTCAGAAGCTAAGCAGGGTCGGGCCTGGTTAGTACTTGGCTGGGAGACCACCTAGGAAGACCAGGTGCAATAGGCGTAAAAAAAAAAAATTTAAAATAGAACTATGACATTATCTAGCAATCCCACTTCTGGGTATTTATCTAAAAGAATCGAAGCCAGGCAAAAGTTCATTCATTTCGCAGGAGTGACGTTTAGGTGTTCCGGTCGCAGCTTGTTGGACATGCACATCACCATAGAAGCCATCGATTCTTGGGGCTCCAGCTTTTATCCCTCGCTAGTTGTTGTGAGTGTCCTTAGGCGTGTGCAGCTAGCGCCCATTCCCCAGCACAGGTGCATCTTATCAGTGCCGATTATTGATAGCTTGATAAACCTGGACAAAGTAACCTTGGCCCGGTTCGTAGTTTTTTGAATTTGGTATACTCCTACCCACTTTTTGAGTGGCTATTGCAAGGAAGATTTGACCAACGGTTATTTAAAATTTTAAACAACATGTAAGAGTTAACATATGAATACATTTAGGAGTTACTGTCTTTTTTATGGTTCCGTTCTAGGGCCGTGATATATTTTACCAGTGTTTAATCAGTGGCCATTGAAGTTTGCTACTAGTTTTCCATAGGTTTTCTGCATCAGAGGACATGCACATTTAAATTTTTATGATCTGCCAAACTGTCCCTCAAAGTTGCAGTCTCATCAGCAGCATGTTTTATGTTAATAAAACATATTTGTTCATAAAATTTGTTGCCCTGTCCTCTTTCCTTCTAGTTTTATCTGTTGTCCCTCTTTAGTCTTTGAAAAATTTTGTGAATTTGACAAGGTATATATCATAATCTTTATTTTGCATTAGAATCAGCACTCGAGATTAGCTCAAAGTCATAGGACTAATAAGTGGTTGATCTAGACAAGAATTGAAATCTATATCGGGTGTTCTTTTAGTTAACTGAAACTGAAAAATGTTTCTTTAATTTCACCTTATTTTCTTTTACCTTAATACTTGAAACTTTAGTATTCTACTTTGCAGAAAGTCAAATTGTATCTGTCCAGCTTTCTTCAGTGGAAATTAATGAAATGGCCAGTTAAGCTCTATTGTGAGGGCCACTCTTCATATTTGTCAGTAACATTAACTTACATTAGGCCAAATTTAAAAAGTTAAAGTTGTGTTTAATATATTTATCGGTAGGACCAATATATAAAGTTATAGAGAGATTTTAATGTATTTTAGTCTTCAGCTGTTCATCATCCTGATGCATAGTAAATAATTGCTCAACCATTAAAGTTATAGTATTGGACAAATCTGGGGAAAATTTGCTGAATAAGCCAATGAAGTTTCCACATTAAAAGATAACTCATGCAGTAACTTCTCTATTCATTAAAGCGTGCAAAAATTTAAATGATGATAGAGTGAACATATGTTTGAGGCTGATTCATTATGGTTTATCAAAAAATATCTTTTTAAAGAGTGCCCTCTGCTTCTGATTCTTTTAGTTGGTCACTTTCATTAACAGTGATATTTTGTTACTCATTTTTCAAATTGCTATCAATGAGTTTATGCCAGCATTATTTACGATATGCTTGAAGGATTTTATTTTTCAAATGCAGTTTTATTTACATATGTGGAAAGTATTTTGAAGTGAAACATATTTGTTAATAAAATTTTAAATGTGGTAGAACATGTCATCTTTATCAAGCTTTATTGAAAACAAGTTTTAAGGACAGACTGGAACTCGTTTCTTTTAGATGGATTGCACCCTGACATCTAGCTAGGTAATGAGAGAGCAGTCTCCGGATTTCACCATGGTCATTTAGCTCCCTTTGCCACTTAATGCAGGAATAGATGTGCACAAATTTTACTTCCTGTGATCTAGTCATTTCTCTTTTCATAAACTGTTCTTAAAATGTCAATTTAAATCTAGGTATGAGAAATAACAGGCGTTTGAACAGGATTTTTGGATTGCGAAAGTAACACTGATCTTAGCTGAAAAGATTAATAAGCAGTTTTACAGATTCCATTGAAATTCCTCTCTCCTTTTGTCCTTCCATTACATTTTGCTGCTTTTATCATAGCACTCATCAGAGTCTATAGTGCATCGTACATATTTGCTTGTTTCTCTTTTTTCTACTGTAATATGAGCCTGGAGGGCTATATCTGTTCGTTATTCATCTTTGTATTCTAGATAGGGCCTGGCACGTAATAGTTATAAATGTGGAATTCAACTGATCTTTGCAAAATAGTATACCGTGAAAAATTGACAAGTTACTCTATTTGATAATTCTTAGCCACTAAAAACTATTTCTTAGATTTTCATATTACTTCAGTGAATCAGCTTTCACATAAAATGACCCCAAGCACTTATTAATTTTGTTTACAGAGAATGGTTTTAGATGCTCTGAGGGTAATTATTGATAATCATCTGTTTCTATTTATCAGTTCTATTTTTTTTCAATCTCCATATTCAGTTGTTCTATGCCGTATTTTATAAGTGAGAGGATCTCTCCAGCTTTTGATGATTTTGAACTTTTAGGTTTGAATATGTAGGATACGTGCAGAATATTCTGTGATATTCTGTAAGTTATGTTTGTGGCTTAATTTGAATTTGGTTGCCTTTCCTTATAAAGAAATATATATATTGTTGGTAATTGGTAAAATGAAATGTCCAGCTTAGATATCTTCATAAAAACTCTAATTCTTGTTTTTCACTTTTTAAGTAGCTTAGGCTTTTTTCAACAATACAAAGCTTTTTATACTATTTTAATTCTAACACAATAGATGAAGAGGAATCTTATTGAATGTTTACTGTGTTCCAATATTGTGATGAGCACTGTATATATTTAAGTCATTAATTGCTTAATAACTCTATGCTGTAGATGATGTAATCTCCATTCACAGATACGGAAGCTGAAGCAAAAAAAGAAATATCTTTTTGGCCACTTGGCCTCTGTTTTATTTATGATACAGATCACAGAAAATAATTCACATATGGATTAGTAGAAAATAATTGGGACTTTTATTTCTGCCATTATGGTCAATTAGATATTCTTTACAATATTCTACCTGTTATTAAACACTTGGAAATTTGGAGGTAAATATTATAAACCCTTTTTAAAAATGTATAGCAAAATTTGTAAAAAGGTTAAGATATTTCATAAGTGCCATAAATGAAGAAGTAGCTCAAAAGAGCAACTTCCGCTGCTGGTGCCCGAGTTCTTTACTGATCTGTGTGACCCAGTGACTTTGGTTTTAGCAGCTGTGTGGGGACAGGCAGGAGTCAAGGCTGTGGTCTGCTCAGGGTGAGGAGTTATAATCGGCCATCTCTGCATTCACTCTTATCACCTAGGATAAAAAATAAAGTTTTTTCTAAAACCATTAGGTAAAATGTATTTAAAAAAAAAAGAATAAAAGAAGGAATTGAGCTAAGATACCAGTTTTAGGAAAATTAGAAGAGAAGTAACAACAAAAAAAATAGGAGTCCATGGACAAAGAAAATGTCAAGAAACATCAACAGGAAACTTAGAGCATTATCTTCTAAATCAGCAGCAGCAAATGACAGCGTGACAGCAGGGAGAAAGCTTGTGACCGTAAGAGATGAAAGCCCCGTTGGAGAGGCAGCCAGTCTTACTCGAATAGCTTAGAATTTCCCAAGTTTCAGTTCATTTTGTATCACCTTCACCATTTTTAGTTTTTACACATTATCTAAATTATTTGTTACTTAATATTTTAAACTGATAATGTTATGCTTATGATTTATTTTTAAAAGAGATCTATATCACAACAAAATGTAGAAACCCATAATACCTGCCATAAATAGAAAATATCTGTAAATATTAATTTAAAAAAGGGAACAAAGTTATAACTATGTCCCGTTGCCTGTTATTGAATGTGAGGCATATCTTCTGTCATAAAGAAGGCAAAACAAGCTTCAAGAGATATTGAGGACACCACATACAATCTTCTCCTTTATTTAATAAGAGGAAATGAAAAAGATGAAAAAAGGAGATACCCTTTGGCTGTAGGCGATTCTATCTTTCCGGTGTGTGTACTGTGGAGATTGTCTTTGGTTCTAACAGTGTCACTAGCTGAGTGTGAAATGATCTAAGGTGGGAAGTGTGACTCTGTATGTACCCAAGTGCCTGCGTTTTGATGTTTATCATTTGGAAGATGTTGCTCTAAGCTCCCTACATTGACGTGTTCTTTTTTTTTTTTTTTTTTTTATTTTTGAAGCTCTTTTAAGAGCCTGTGCTGATGGAGGTGCCAACCGCTTGTATGATATCACCGAAGGAGAGAGGGAGAGGTAAGCTTCCTTTTAGCCAGTGTGCATCGAACCACTAATCGTGCCCTTCAGTTTGTTTTACTCTTTTCTGTGAATCTTCCCTCAAAATTAATAGAAAACCAGGCCAGTGAGAGAGCTGCTTAACCATGTTATGTTTTTTCTCTTTGCTTTGAATGGTTTCTCTCAATAGAACTAGGCCAATCATATTCTTATTTAAAAAAAAAAAAAAAAAATCTGCTACTTCAAAACCCTCAGTAAACAGCATTATCAAATATCAGTATTTGTGAGGACATTGAACATTGACCAAAATGAAACTTCACATGATAATTTAAACAGCATTTAAATGAGTAAAAGGTGATCTCATATAAGTGAAATACATGTTCTGTTACAGAAGATGTGAGATTTTTTATTAGTGTTGAGTAAAGCTCAGTATGATTTACTCTTAGTTACTTCTGAGTTATGTACACATATATTTAGGAGGTGAATAATTTATTTCTTAATTTGTTATCTGTGCTGTCTGGTTTTCCTGATTTTTGCATGGTGTGCTATTTTTAGATAAAAGAATACATTGGACAAAAGCAAAATTTAAATCTAGCTCATTGCCAACATGTATATAGTTCAACCTCTTGGAAAACACAAGAATTTATATAGTCCAGATATAAGTAGCCATGAAATTTAGTTTCACTTCTATCATATGTATTATTAAATGTACTGAAATGTTTATAGTTTGAAAAATCACCCTTGCTACAAAAAATAAAATGAAAATATTATGATGCAACATGCTATGTGAATTAAATATATGTATTTCGAAATGATGTGACATACATCTTTATGGCATCAGATTTTGTAACTTTATGCTTCTGAACTTGGAGCTGCTTTCTGAAAGCAGCTGGTCGCTTATAGGAGGAAGGCCTGTTTCCTTTGAGACTGGCGTGCCGATGTCTGGGGACTGGATGCATTACCCGAGAATATAGCAATAGGGGCAGCCTAGGAAATGGTTTAAATTCTTAACTTTCTGTCTTCTTCATTTTTTTAACTTTATTCCTGTGACTGTATTCAGCAAGACCTGACATGGACAGTGTGTGAAAAAATACTCAGGTATATGTTATGAAAAACTCCTGGGCCAGTCGGTTCAGGGACGAGCATGCTGCCCATGAGGCCAAGACGACGGTGGAGTCCCGAGTACCGCCGGCTTTCTGCCCGTAGCCACTTGCCGGCAGGCGGCCTAGTACCGAGCGTTATTTCCCTAGTGGCAGAGGCAGCTCACGAACATAACCGTGTGAACAAGATCCGTGGACGGAAGTTAGCACAGTGCTTCCCCGCTCTCCCTTGATCATAAGAATCATCTAGAATGCTTGTGAAAATATACAGGTTTCTGGACTTTAGTAAGAAAGGTAACACATAACACTTCAATTCACATTTAAAAGCAAAACATTACCAGATTTGGGGAGTGAGTACCATTGTTTTTTGCCCAAATTTCAAAATAATTATTTCTAATGTTTCTTAACATATTTATAAATAATCTTATGCAGGTCTTCCAAGAAGGTTTCTATGAGTTATCTAACAACCGTGCGTTCACATATGAAGATGTCCAATAAAAATATCCTAGTAGTTGGTTTTCTAGTCGTAATAACATATTTGCCATGAGTCCCACTCTGGTACTTAGGGACGCGGCTGGCCTGGGTCAGGGCGGTCTCTGATAGGGAGATGAGTGAAGCTGGATGCCTCGTGTGGAACTTAAATCTTTGGAATAAATTTCATTAAATCCAAACCCTAACCTGTGAAACTGATTGGACGCAGGTGACTAAACACAATTCCTGTTAGTTGTATTTTTAGTAGAAAGGCCTCACGATGGAAAAGGGAAAAACATTCATAAGTTTTAAAAAGCCCAGCGTGGCTCGCGGACCACCGCTCTGCCTGTTCGCATATGTCTGCACCCACACCGGAATACCTCACGATTACGCCGTAAACACGAATGTGTGCGGAATCATCTCCCGTTGAAGACAAATGAGAGACTGACATCTAGAATGGGAGGGAGGAGGACTGACGTACACAGCAGCAGAGGCTCACGACGGACAGAGCGGACGCAAAAGCCGGTCGTGGCCTTGGGTCCGATCTGCTGCGGAATGCGTTCAGCCCTGTCCACCATCCTTCATAAATGCTCCGTCTTTGTTTCAGCTCTGAAAGTGGCCTCAATCTATTTATCAAGTTGTTTATTATTATTATTAAGAAGTCCTAAATGTTTTTTCTTATTGTGAAAACAATACATGATGATTTGAATATATATTAGTGAGTTGAGAGAAACAAAAAGGAGAAAATAAAAATTATCTGTTATTTCTTATTAGGTAGCAAAGAGTTAGACTGAGTCTACCCATTGGTTCTGCCCTTTGGAGGAACAGAAATAGGACTAATTTTTCCTGC